TAATCTTTTGCTAATTTATTAAGTTTTTCAAGAAGTGATTTTAATTGAGAACTATGGTTAATAAATATTTTATCAAGATAGCCAAACTCTAATAGTAAGATTGGGGTAACTTCTATTACATTATGTTGTTTTTATGCTCATAATTGAAATGAAATGCTCTAAAATCTCTCATATTAATCATGGCTAAAGCTATACTAACTTTTGGTTTACAAATAAAATTCTTCGTATTACCACAAAAACATGGTGGATATATCTTTGTAATAATATCCGTCTCTAGTTCTGGATCAAAGATGGATTGATACAAAGCACATTGTAATTGTAATTGTAGCTCTTCATGGACTATAATGCTTTGTTCAAGATCTCATTTTGCATGTCTGGTGGCATTGTTCTTAATTTTTATTTTCAAATTTCTTCTAATAAGATATCATCTTTTATTAAGTCTAATGATATATTCCTAAGAATATTTCATATCTTTCTTGTTTTGCTTTGTCTGTCAGATGTTGATGCAGCTCATTTATTTGATGCTGCTCATTTGTCTGATGCTACTCCATTTCAATATTTTCTTCTAAAAGCTCAATCTGAAATGAAGCAGCATCAAACAAATAAGCAGCATCAAATAAATAAGCAACTTCAACATCTGACAGACAAAGAAAAACAAGAAAGATATGAAAGATTTCTTAGGAATATACCATTAGACTTTAATAAAAGATGATATCTTATTAGAAGAACTTTGAAAAGCAAAATTAAGAATAATGCCACTAGACATGCAAAATGAGATCCTGAGCAGAGCATCATAGTTCATGAAAGAGTTACAATTACAATTACAATGTGCTTTGTTTGGACAATTTTTTATCCAAAACTATGAATGAATATTATTACAAAGATATATTCATCATCTCTTTATGATAGTACAAAGAGTTATATGTGTAAACCAGAAGTCAGTATAGCTTTAGCTAGGATTAACATGAGAGAACATGACATTTCAATATGTAAGAAACATCATAATGTAGTAGAAGTTACCCAACCTTATTATTAGAATTTGGCTATTTTGATAAGATATTCATTAACCATAGTCCTCAATTATAATCACTTTCTGAAAAGCTTAAGAAAATAGCAGAAGATTATCTAGAAGAGTGGAAAAAATTTTGTATAAGTTTTATTAGTGGTCCTTTAGAATGTGTACATATGCATATATAAGGAGAAAGCTCGGCATATAATGATGATTAATGAAGAGTCATTTAGATTATCCTCTATCTCCCCATACAGATGGACTCCTTAGTACAAAAATATTCTGAGATATTGAGGAATCCAAATGTTGGTTTTAGATGAATTTGAAGATTTTAGGTATGATATGATATTAGTAGCAGAAAAAGAAATGTATATTTACAGCAAGGCAAAAACTTTTCATCAGCCCTACCAGAAGCCTAAAAAATTTAAAGGAGAAACATCAAATATGTATTACAAGGTAAAAGAAGATAGAGAAAGAGGTAGAATTAGAAGAAGGAGATGAACAATACTAGAACAATTTAAACAAAAGAAGAACTACATAACATTGACAACATGATGGAAGCATGAGAGAGCTAGCAACAATTTAGTAAAAGATGAAAAGTAGCATATGGAATAGTACCAATTCAAATAATGTACAATAATTGAAGCATCAGATAAAAATGTAAACAGATTATGGACCCGCCATGATGAATGAAATAATGGCATAAGAGTAAATAAAGAAAATAGTTTTACTCATTATGAAATTTTTACACAAAAAATTCCTTATGATTAAGATTGTATAATAAAAAGACTTTTTCATTAAAAGTCCCTTGATTTAATGATCGGAGTGGATTGGTTGGTGGGAACAACAAGGAAGGGAGAAGGTGCGCTTGAGAAATTAAAGCTTTTTATTTTTGTAATTCGATTTTAATTAACAAATTAATTATGTACTAATTTATTTTTTAATTTTTACTTAAAATTAATATGGAGTCTTTTATTAATTTGGGTTAATAAATGACAAGTTTTGAGCGGGTGGTAATACCACTCAACACATTCTAGTGGCAAGTCGAGCTCTATACAAATTTTTCTCCTTATGTAGCTACCATTTTCCAAAATATCCTTGAAATTAAGAGCCAAAAAAATGGAAATTGATAAAAATATATTATCAGCCAAATTTCATAATTTTTTATTTAAAAACGAGGCTAAACGCCTAACAAAATGAACTTACAATAAGACATTTTCAGCAGTGTTGTTACTAAGAGATGTCAACAAGGGATATGAGCTTAATCAAAATAAACTGGACAAAAATAACACAATAAACTTAAATTAGCTCATTCATCAGCCACAAAATTCATCACATAATAAACATAGCGGATTCAGTTAGAATTTAAAAAAAAATATTAGTTAAGCTCAGTTTATTACTTTGAAGTTTCGTGATTTTCAATATTTGACACATCAAGTTTTTTCATCCCAGTCTAGTACCTTAAGTGATAATTCTAGGACAATTTCATACATTCGTTAAGCCTTTTGTTAAAAGCTTTGTTATCTTGTGATGTGACGCTTATGTAGACAATGACTGGATACCTTGTGGATATTAAAAAAAACCTAAAAACTACAACTTTGGATTTGGAAGGAAACGTTCGGGATTTTTTCCCGACCGCAGCCATCTTGGGGATGGGTTTGCTTTTGTTGTTTTTCCCGGAGGACAATGGCAGCAACACCATCGCCATTGTTGACGAACCCACCAAGCTCTTCTCTTCTTCCACTTCCTTTTCGTCGTCCTCCCCCACCCCTTCTTCCTCCTCCAAAACATGCACAAGCTGTATCTCCTTACGCCTCTGCAACACCAATCAATGTGCTAAAAGCCCCCAGAAATGGAGCGATAGAGGGTGGGCGAATTGGGAGGTATTTTTGGTCGCGATCGAAATGGAGCCCGACCCGGGTTTGTATCGGTCTGCTGAAAAAACCCGGTTGAAGACAGAAGTGTTGGAGGGTAAGCCGCAGTTGATGAGGTAGTCATCGGAGGTAGTGAAGGAGGCTGAGATGTGGAGGAGAAAGAAGAGGGTTCGAGAGAGAAAGTGGAGACCGAGATGGGTTTGTCCCCGTGGAGAGATTTTTCAGTGTGACCGTCACACGAGATGCTACACCACGTGTCCCTATATAAATGGTGGGTTATATGTGTTAAAAGATTAATAACTTAAAATTTAAAATTTTCCATCACTTGCATAAAAACACATGGTATACCATCCGTGTTCCCGTCACAACTAAAAAGTTCTCGTCCTCGTGAAGCTCCCACCCAATTCAGCAATGGGCTTTGATTTTTTAATTTTTTTTTAATTTTCTAATGTTGAAATGGGCCCATATTGACATGTGGCGTCAAGTTAGTGTCCACGTAAGGAGAGATTTTTCAGTGTAACAGGTATACGGGGTGGTACACCACATGTCACTATACAAATAGTGGGATATGTGTAATAAAAAGTTAATAACTTAAAAAATAAAATTTCTCACTACTCTTATTAAAACACTTGGTGTACCATTTATGTTCCCATTACAACTAAAACTTTCTCCCATCCAAGGTTTTAAATATTGATATTATCGGCGATATTTCACCGATAATATCGTTTTTTTTAGAAAACGATATTTTCACACTTATCCACTTAATTATCGTAAATATAACAATATTTTTATCAATATTATCGCGATAATATTAAAAACGACATTTTCAGCATTTTAATGCATTATTTGAACAATATATCCTTATCAATAATATCGCAAGATAAAACCCAAGAATACTTAAAAAATGCTAAAAAGTCTCAAAAGATACTACACTTGATCTTAGCCCAAAGGCCCAGAAAGTTTGCTTTTCTCAGCTTTGGAATGTAGCTTTTATAGGCCTGTTTGCTTGCTCACTGCTCTCGCATGGGCGATGTTGGATTCTAACACTTACAGAAACCAAAACGTTTTGCCGCGAGGGCTGGTGCATGTGAACTTGTGACTCCAACTAGGTAAGAGACAGATCTAATTTGAGGTCTTCTATCCTATATTTGTGGACAACGATCAAATGCTAAAGATTAAACAAAGATAATATGTTCTACTGCTTAGCGAAAAAAGCTACAAACCCTCTGCTTATTTACAAAAAAAGACAAGTCCTTGCACTAGATATACTTTCAAATTACGTTGAGCAGCAACCTGATATATGTATTCGGACAAATTATAAAACAATTGACACACTCTTGGCTTCCAAAATTCAATTCTTTTAGTTTATATGAACTTGAAAAAACATAATCGGCATCCAAATTAAAGTTTAGTCTTATTCAATGTATTGATTTTCAATCGTTAATTGATATACTATAATTTGGAATTTCAACGCCTAGACACATGCTTATGCATAAGAAATTTAAAGTGTCAAATTCGGCATATTATTCTTCATCATTTTATTCACTTCCTTTTTTTTAATATCCTAAATAAAACCTCTCAATATTGTACTAATTCATTATATATAAATGATTATGGTGTGTTTAAACTTCTTTAATTAATTACTACATATTTTCTACACTCACAATGTTTGCCAGCTCGCTATATAATTAACTTAAATCAGTTAAATCCATCATGCAATACATTTCCTTCCAATTTTTTGTGATAAACTAATAGATAATTGACTAAATAAATATCATGCAAAGTTTCAATAAAAATTTTCAAGTTTTTCTTACAATTTTTATTGATATCGATAATATCCCGATATTTCCATCGATATTTCTGTGTTTTTGGACTACTGATATTTCCGATATCATCGATATTTTATACCTTGCTCCCATGTGAGCCTCGCGTTATAGGTTGACGGTCGACTTAACAGCAACCTTAACAAATCTAAGAAACTGTTCCAAACTTTTGACTTCAAGTATTATTCTGGAATGAAAAAAAAAAAACTTGATATACCAAATATCAAAAACCAAAAAATTTTAAAGTAGTAAACTGAACCCTTAAAAAAAATATTAACAACAGAAAAATAAAAAAGGCAAACGCCAAAAGGAAATACAAAACCTCCAGCGGCTTTGCTCCTCATCATCTTCATCATCCAACTCAAAAATCCACCTAGCTTTGCTCACCTCTCCCTCTCCCTCTCCCTCTCTATAGTCAGTTTACGTACGAAAGACAGGCATGTCCCGCAAAGGAGGAGGAAGTGCTTCTTCACTCCCGAAGGACGTGCCTTGGAGGGCCTCAAACATCAAACCCATCCCCAAAATTCACCATTCCCCTCTTCTCCGCATAGCCCCCAACCCTACTTCCAACTATGCCCTCTCCGTCATGAAGGTCGGTTTTCTTCCAAACATTACCCTCGTTCTACACCTCTGATTACATTTTTGTTTTCGTTTTTTATAATCTTGCTCGTCGTAAAATTGTGTAATTTTGCAGCACCCGAATCCAGTCGGAAGTGGGTTGGCCATGGAAGCTATATTGGAATCCGCAGGACCGGATTGCATTGTCCCTGGACAAGTTGCACCCATCAAATTACTTGGTCTCAAGGTTGCCTCCTGCTTTGTTTCCATCATTAAAAATATCTTCAAACTTATTTGGTCCATTAATCCAGTAATTAGATTTTTAATTTACAAATTTTGATTAATAATTTTGGGAGTCATCCAAATTTTTACTAATTGTTGCTGCCTTTTTGTGGATTGTTATAACTGTTATGCTATCTGAATTTGGAATTTAGGATTAAAGTTATGCTCAGTACCTATTCGAATTTAGAATCGAAATATCTGCTAACGCTTGGGGCCAATGTTAGTTTGCCTGTTCTACTTCCTTTAATTCGTTACTGGCTTCTTTGTAAAGTTTCAACACTGCAGTATATGCCATTGCTTAACGTTTGAATTGGGTCTTTCTTTTTTGTCCTTTTGATGTCATTCGTAAAATTATTACTTTCTATAAACGCTTGCAATTGCTGCACAGACTATTTAGTTCTGCTTTCCCAGAGGCTATTTTTTGGTGACGTGTCTACTTTTAGGAGGATAGTTCCTCTGCTTGAATTGTTTGTTTGACAGATGCTATTTCAGAATGCAACATATAGAGATATCGTGATGCTTCGATTTGCTTACTGTGCTGTATCAAGTTTTTACTTTATACTATTCAATTATCTGTATAACTAGTCTCTTGTACTTCTTAGTTAGAGAAAATTGGAGAAATTATCCTTCAAATTTGGCCCAATTGGAGCTTTGGTCACTAAACTAAAAATTCGGGAGTATTGGTCTCTGAACTTGTTATAATGTGGAGCAATGGTCATTTCCGCTAACTCTCTTAGAACTTCCATCCAAAATAAAGGGTTTAAAGGGGTGAAAAATGAAGCCAAAACAACCATGGCTCCATATTATTACACGTTCAGGGACCAATACTCGTGAATTTTTAGATTAGGGATGATTGCTCCAATTATCTTTCTTAGTTATTATTATTTTTAATTGAATTCTGTTTTTCTTACAGGTATGGCCATTTGAAGTTAACTTCAAATTTTTGGAACCAGTCGGGCGAGAGCTCAAGCAGCTTGGAAAGGTAAGTTTCAATGTTTCAGATCTGTTTCATTTTTGGAGTTACCCTTGTTGAATTGATAATGAGAGTAGATAGCTTTAGAAGAATCAGAAATAAAGATAAAATAAAGCTGGGAATGCTCTTGAGAAATGGCGTTGTCCCCAATTCCATGGAATAGAAAATAGTAAGAAAGTCAATAGATTGATACACTTTATTGATAATTAAAGTAATAAAGGGACGAAAGAAGGTTTAGATAAGGTAAACAATCTGAGCACAGTAATTCAGAAATTATTTTCCCCAATAATAAAACCAGCTTATGATAGATCATTCCTGGTTCGATCTGCTGAAAATGATATGAGGCCAATTTGTTCTTCTGAAACATTTGAAAAAACAAATGAGTGGTTTTGGGTCAAATCGCATTGGAAGTCTAGAATGCTCTTTGCTCAGCTCCATAATGAAATTTATTATTGGATACATTAATATGGTTCAATTGTTAATGTTTGTGTGTGTTTTCAATATGTATTCCAATGGAGGTTGTCTTCAATGATAGAGAGAGTTTTAGAGAGAAGAAGTTGCAAAGATGTCTCTTCGAATTTTCATTGACGTTTTTCACACAATACAATCTAACCGTTATATGAAGAAGGAAGGGAGATCCTTCACTCTTCAACATACAATACAATCTTAGCCATTCATTGCTATCATCCTATGAGATGATGCCACTTGGCTTATTCTATTACTTAGGCTAGATACAAGATTAAAATGCCATGTGGACTATGATCCAATGACTCACATTCAAACTGAAACAAAACATAGAGACATGATTCTTGCTGCCAAGCTTCAGCTAAAGGGTTATACACCAACACTCCCTTCTAACCCTTTGGCTGATTTAACTCCAAGTAGCTCCCTTAGATACACAAATCGATCTTTAGGTAAAGCCTTAGTAAGTATATCTGCAATCTGCTCCTCTGTCCTGCAGTACACTAACTCAATCTCTTTGGCTTGAATTGCGGCTCGGATGAAGTGGAACTTCCTGTTGATGTGTCTTGTCTTTTGATGAAAGACTGGATTCTTTGCCATAGCAATGGCTGATGTATTATCACACAAGATCTGAGTTCCTTCCACTTGTTCTTCTCCAAAGTCTTCTAGAACAAATCTCAGCCACTTTGCTTGTGATGTAGCCTCTGCTGCACTAACATATTCTGCTTCTGCAGTAGACAGTGCCACCGTGTTTTGTTTGATTGAAGCCCATGAGAACATACCAGATCCTAGTGTGAATGCATACCCTGAAGTACTTCTCATATCATCCTCACTTCCAGCCCAGTCACTATCACAATAGCCGATTAGGGTAGTAGCTTTTCCCCTTTCAAAGACAATACCAAAATCGATTGTTCCCTGGATGTATCTCAGTACCCTCTTAGCTGTTCCCATATGTTTCTTAGTGGGATTATGCATGAACCTTGCCAATATACTTGCTGCAAACATCACATCAGGTCTAGTTGCAGTTAAATAGAGCAGACTTCCAACAAGCTGCCTATATTCTCCTTCATCCGCAGGTTCACTTCCATCAACTTTGCTCAACCTCTCATTCATTGCAAGTGGAGTAGCAATTGATTTGCATTCTTTCAGACCAAACTTCTCAATTAGTTTCTGTGCATATTTCTTTTGGTGTATAAAAATGCTGTTCTCAGTTTGCAGCACACCCATTCCAAGGAAATGATGTAATAAGCCCAAGTCAGTCATCTCATAGTGTTTCATCATGTCATTTCTAAATTCTTCAAGCATTTGTGGACTGCTACCAGTATATACAATGTCATCTACATATAGAGACAATAATGATACCTGAGTCCTTACTTGTCTTAACATACAAAGTTGCCTCACTTGAACTCTTCTCAAACCCTGCACTATTGAAGTATAATCTCGTCATACCAGGCTCTTGGTGCTTGTTTCAAGCCATATAGAGCCTTGTTCAACTTGTACACCTTTGTTTCTTCACTTTCCTTCACAAAGCCTTGAGGTTGCTCAACATACACTTCTTCTTTCAGTACCCCATTGAGAAATGCAGACTTTACATCTAATTGATACAAGTTCCATTTCTTCTGTGCAGCAAGGGCAATTAAAGTTCTAATCGTATCCAACCTTGCCACAGGGGCAAAAGTTTCATTATAGTCGATTCCGGGCTTTTGTGAATAGCCTTTAGCCACCAGCCGAGCTTTATTCTTCTGCACAGTGCCATCCAGATTAAGTTTGGTCTTATAGACCCATTTAACACCAATAACAGGCTTGTCATATGGTCTCTCAACAAGCTGCCATGTGTTGTTCTTCTCAATCATGTCCAATTCAGTTTTCATTGCACTCCTCCATGAATCATCTTTAGCTGCATCCTCATAACTTTCTGGTTCAATAACACACATGTTGCATTGAGCCATGATTTCATTGATACTTCTCCATTTCTTCGGTGTATCATCATAAGTTGAAGATCTCTCAGGCACATTCTCACTTTGAGAAACATTGTATTCTTCAAACTGAGAATTTTCATCAACCTCACAGATTTCATTAGGATTCTTATGTTCAGTGATAACTGGAAATGTCACTCCAGTATCTATATTGCAGTTCCAATCCCAAAAATTATTCTCATCAAATGTGACATCCCTTGAGAGAACAATCTTTCTTGAAATGGGATCAAACAATCTGTAGCCCTTCTCACTTGAACCATAGCCTACAAAGATACACTTGTGACTGTTTTCTTCCAGTTTATGTCTGAGATTGGAAGGTATATGCACATAGCACAATGAGCCAAATATCTTCAAATGAGCTATTCCAGGTTTTCTACCACTGTAAGCTTCAAATGGGGTTGACTTCTTCAAGGCTTTGGTAGGACACCTATTGATCAAATAGACTGCAGTATTCACTGCTTCTGCCCAAAATGCATATGGAAGGTTTTTTTCATGTAGCATTGACTTTGCCATCTCCACCACAGTCTTATTCTTTCTTTCGAACACTCCATTTTGTTGAGGAGTGTAGGCCATAGTCAATTGTCTCTGAATTCCTTGTCCATTACAGTATTTGTCAAACTCTGCAGAAAGGAATTCTCCCCCTCGATCACTCCTGAGACATTTAACCTTATATCCACATTGTAACTCAGTCATTGCCTTGAACTTTTTGAAACATTCAAATGCATCAGACTTGTTTCTCAAAAAATACACCCATGACATCCTTGTGCAGTCATCTGTAAACAACAAAAAATATTTGTTTCCAGAATGAGACTCTACTTGCATTGGACCACAGATATCTGTATGAATCAACTCCAGTGGATCTTTAGCTCTCCAAGTCGATTGAGAAGGGAATGAGTCTCTGTGTTGTTTACCCAACATGCAACCTTCACACACACTTTGGGACATTTCTAATTTAGGTAATCCATGCACCAACCCCTGTTCTTCAAGTACCTTGAGACTTCTCTCATTCAAATGACCCAACCTCTTATGCCATATCTGAGAACAATGTGTGATACCTGCTCTTAGTGCATACTGTGTTGCAGGCAACATTGTCAAAGGAAAACATCGATTGTTGGTCATATGTACCCTCACTACTAAATTATCCAGTGACCATCCATAAAAAATATTAACTACATCACCTCCAAACAACAAATAATAACCGTTTTCCATCATTTGTCCTACACTTAGAAGGTTTTCCTCAAGTCCAGGAACAAGCATTACTTCTTGTATATGTTTTCTTCCCAATTTAGTTTCAATCACCAAGGTTCCCTTTCCTGCCACTTGACAAATTTCTCCAGTTCCCATCTTTACTTTGGAGGTCAAATCTCTCTGAACATTGACCAATAATCTCTCATCTCCTGTCATGTGGTTACTACAACCACTATCAATGTACCATGAGTTATTGACTTGCACATCGGTCACTGCATTGCAGGCATAAAACAGTGATCCTATTTCTCCCATTTGCGTCACATAATTAACTTTCTGCACTCCTTTATTCTCATGACAGTCTCTCATAGAATGACCTGGCTTACCACAGCCTGTGCACTTTGTTTACCTTCATACCAACACTTCCCATAGTGCAACCTGTCACACCACTTACAATCACCCTGAACATTGTTTTGCTTCTGAACATAATTAGGCCTATGATCCCAATTCCTTTGAGTATTGTTCTGTCTCTGAGGATAATTGGGTTTGTGATCCCAATTCCTTTGAGTATTACTTTGCTTCTGAACAAGGTTTGGTTTATAATCCCAATTTTTTCCCCTTGATTTCCAACTCTCTTGAGACCTTTGATTCCCAGAAAATCCACCACTTTTGACACCCTTAGATGCTACATTTAAACTTGCAAATGCCCTCTCAGTCGAAGACTCAGTATGTAAATCAAGCCTCTGTTCGAATCCTTTTAGAGAAGCTACAACCTCTTGAACCTCAATAATTTCAAGATCTCTAGAGTGCTCAATTACAGAACAAATTGCATCATATGTTTTCGGAAGACTAATAAGTAATTTCTGCACAATTCTCTCCCTAGATAGTTCTTCTCCATAACTTTTCATTTGATTAATGATATCAAACAATCTAGAGAGATACACAGATAATGATTCACTATCCTTCATACGAGTATATTTAAAATCTCTACGTAACCCTTGCAATTTTACATTTCTTACTTGTTTATCTCCTCGGAATTCACCCTTTAGAACATCCCAAGCTCCTTTGGATGTCTCTTCATTCATGATTCTGGGAAAGATCTGATCCGATACTGCACCTTGTATCATTCCAAGCGCACGAGCATCCTTCATCAGGATCTCACTGAACGACACTCCATCCGTCGTCTCCTTCTTCGTCTCATCGACCATAGCTTTCTCAGACTTCGAATCTGGAGGTTCAAACCCATTTTCTACCAGCTCCCACAAACCATACGATTTCAGTATAGTTGTCATACGAATCCTCCAAAATTCATAGTTCTCTCCATTGAAGACCGGAGCTCTAAGCTCAACATTGCCGGACCCAGCCATATGAGACTTGAATACAAGAAATCACAATTTCCAGATTCGATTGAAGCTCAAAGATGTAGCTCAATCGCACAGATTTCACGCCCAGATTTGACGATGAAACCAGGCTCTGAGGCCATGTTAATGTTTGTGTGTGTTTTCAATATGTATTTCAATGGAGGTTGTCTTCAATGATAGAGAGAGTTTCAGAGAGAAGAAGTTGCAAAGATGTCTCTTCAAATTTTCATTGACGTTTTTCACACAATACAATCTAACCGTTTTATGAAGAAGGAAGGGAGATCCTTCACTCTTCAACATACAATACAATCTTAGCCATTCATTGCTATCATCCTATGAGATGATGCCACTTGGCTTATTCTATTACTTAGGCTAGATACAAGATTAAAATGCCATGTGAACTATGATCCAATGGCTCACATTCAAACTGAAACAAAACATAGAGACATGATTCTTGCTGCCAAGCTTCAGCTAAAGGGTTATACACCAACATCAATTGTTGCTAAATGTCTTATGCGGTTAGGGTTTGTAGGACTTTAACAGCTTGTATTTTCAAGCTGTGGCCTAGTTTTCGCAGACTAGACCTGCTCTTTTTTTCTTCAAAATTGATGATTTTTATATGAACGGGAGGGAGGTTGGGTTCCAGTTATATCTGATTGGTGGAAGATCTGTGGTGCGGAATTAAGACTTCTCTATTCTCTTTTGATTTTTGATCATTCACTTGTTTTGAAAGTGAATAAGGAAAGACTTCTTGCCTGGACTCCTTTCTTTGTGGTCTCAGTTTCAGAACGTAACCTCCACCGTTGTTGATAATTGATGGTTTACTTTTGTTTGATTCTTGTCAAGTACTTACTGTAGAACAGTTTTTGCTTTCATACACAACATGAAAATCCAGAGTTCCAGAGGTCTTAATAATTAATAAATTGATTATGTTTCTAATGCAGTTCATGGATGATGCCGTCAATCTCATGAATAAATCATTTATAGATCGCTAGTGCATCGGTTTCATGTTGTCAAAGAGGATAGGGTAATTGCAGTCAGCGGAAGCCTAGCCAGGAAGAATGACTTATTATGAGGTCTCCACTTGTGTTGTCTTTGGTTGTGCTGCGGTTGAGGCATACGTAGTAGTTAGTATCTATAGATCAGAAGCGGGAGGTTTCTTATTTTGTATTGTGACATTAATACTTGAATTTGAATAATATGAGGCTTGGAGTAATGCTAGTTATATTTGAAATCTTTGTCTTCACTGTACATATTGCACATGAATGCATACGTAAAGGTCATGTTCGACGACAAGGATTGGATATATTAACTTACGAGATTCAAGGTTTATTGATGATAGAAATGAATGCCAAGTTGCCAAATTCTAAATTTCGTCTAAGGTGAAGACATTAGATGGATTTGTTATAAGGTGTCGATGGCCTTCCAATTTGTAGGATTGGAAGGATAAGTTCTGATCATTACTAAACCATCTTTCTACTTTCGACTTGGACAAAATTGGTAAAGTAATCTCTATTTCTTCATTCAACATACCTGAATCCAATGAGTTAATATGTCCAATCCCAAATAATTCTCTAGGCACCAAACTTGTGGTCTTGAAGCGTTCACCTAGGATTACAAGGCATATGTTTCCTTCATGTCAGATCCCTTCATAACGGAAATCATTCACATCTACTTTTAATGTACCTTGAAGCTTATTAGTTGCTGGCTCCATTCCAATCCCAGGCACCAAATGAACCCTAATTCAAAGTAGGTTGCGGTAAGAAATGAATTTCAACTGCCAGATTCTGTGCCAGGTGAAAGAATTGGATGAATTACAAGGGATAAATGAGCCCTGAACGTGAGGTCTTTGATATTCTATCATTTTGTGGGGATTGGAAGGGAGAAACTTTGTTAATGACAAATCCATTTTCTCTACCGTCAACTTGGATGAAATTTTAGAAGATGACCTTCATTTCTTCTTTCAGTATATCCAATCCAATTCAATTCTACGCACCAAACATGTGGTTCTTCAATCAAGTCAATGGTTTTGAACCAAATATGAAAAGCCCAATCAAGTTATTGGATCCAGTCTCTATCACCAACACTTTGCTAATGTCCCAAGCAATTTCACTAACGGGGACAAGCAATTTCACTAACTGCCTTCATTGAAGGACAAACCCTTCTTCCTCCCTTCTTTCCAGATATGCAAATGCAAAGTATCCATAATATTAGGGATGACAATTTAACCCGTCAAATCTGATCCCCGCAAGTAACCGATCCAAATAGTTCGGATTGAGGGATCAAATATCGGGTATTTTACAGTTATGGGTAACGATGAGGTAAGTGGTTCGGTTTCGGGTTCGGTTATGGTTATTAGGGTATCCGCTCCGAACCCGTACCCGAAACCACCCCGTTTGCATTCTTTAATGAAATAAATATAAATATTTTTTTATTTTTTTTTCCAGCAACTTTATCAATTGATTCTAGGAGATTTCAAAGGTCACCAACAACTTTATTAAAAAAAAAAATCAATCCTTTGAATCAATGATGGAATGTGGGAGAGCTCAAAGGCCAGGAATAATTCAAATTTCGAAGAAATCCTATTCATTTTTTTCTTACAAATTGACAGCAGCAACCATTTGCTTCCTTGCATTGGCTAATACAAAACTCCAAGTCTCCGAATCCATTAGTAGGTATGCTTTCTTCAAACTCTTCTTCTTTGGGGAATCCATCAATAGACAATAAGTATGCTTTCTCCAAACTCTTCTGTGTGATCAAAATGCATTTGGTTCTTTGTATTCAACAAGTAGCGCATGATTGAATAATTGGAGGAGGAAAGGAAATATTTTTCTTGCATTAAACTACCTTAGATGAATATGATTACATTAGTTTGAGCAGATCCTGTTGTGTATTGAATTTTACAAACTAATTTAGGCTGTTGTTTTATAAATAGCTTCTTCTTCTGATGATGAACATATTGGTTGCTGCTCATTTGCTGCTCAAACTTTGAGGATATGAACGTGGATAAGGAACATCATGCAGATGATCGTAAGGGAGGAACATTATGAAGCATTGCTTCTTGTGTTGTGGATGCGAGAAATATTAGATGTTAATATGTTATGTGGGCAATGCATTAGCTGGAGCATTTTGGAATTTTTTTTTCTACTGAATTTCCTTTTTTTCTCTGAACTACTTTGGATTATGATGAACTTTTCTAGAATAGCCAAGTAATGTTGTTTAAGAATCACTATTTTATTAGTTGAATTTTAGAAAGTGTTACAAACATTTGCTTAATTTTTCACAAGAAAGAAATATCATAATGGGGAAAACCGTTAATTGCCCAATGGGGAATCCGAACCCAATGGGTTCGGTTACAGGGAATCCCCATTCAGGAATTTTACGGTTTTGGGTTTGAGGAAATTAAATGGGTTCAGTTATGGGGATGGCACATCCGAACCCAATCCGCCTCATTGCCTTCCCTACATAATATCTATTAATCTAATCAAAATCTTTGCTTCCCTGGACTACCTTCCAAAACATTATCTCCCTATCCTTTCCTTTTTTTTTCCCAATTAATCATATATTATATGAATAGTATGATCAATAGACAGAGACAAAATGGCTATAGAGAAAAAAAAATGTGATGCAAAAAAGGAGAGAGAACTAGAATCATCAACTGTTCACCTTCCCGGACGACCTAATTTGTTGCCGTAATTCGATAAGTTTATGTAAGCCAAAGCCAATGGTGGAGTTCCCACAAACTAGTGGGGTTTCTGTAAGAGGTCTCTTTTTCCTCGTTTGCCCAACTCTATGCCACCCTACTTCACATATATAAGGGTTTAATTTCTCTTGGATTGTCACACTACCAATAATGACTTGTCTAGCGGCCGTGGAAGGAGAGAAATTGCGCAAAGGTCAGTGGCTTGAAGAGGAAGATGAGCGACTCAAGACCTATGTAAATCTTAAGGGGGGTAGGAGGTGGGATGCGTTAGCGAAGGAATCAGGTAAGCACATTACAAATGATTCTTATGACACACCCCGATCGTAGAATCAAGGCGTGCTAGCCGTCACATGAGCATGACGTAACCAAAAGTGCGATGCGGAAGTAAAAGATAAAAGAATTACAAAGGAATAAAATCCATCTACTAGCAATAATAACCAACTAGCATACCAGAGTGAGTTTAAGTGTGAAACACATATGTTCAGAGCATAAGTACTAGGTGCAGTCAAGTAAGACTATAACTAAATTACAACACCCGAAGGTGAGTCCTACATTTATGTAGTCTGTCAGTACGCCGTGGGAATCCTTGTGGGCCACCAATGCTGCTAACTAGAACCTGGAGGGGCGCAAAACAAGATTGAGTGGGTCAGTAAAACAAAACTTTTCGAAAATATTTCATTTAATAACATTTCTAACCCCTCGCTGTAAAACCTGTATACTTTCCCAGAAAATAACATAATATGCATATAATTCTTCAAACATCTCAAATCACCAATCTTTATAAAAACCAGAAAGTATGCCATGCTATAAACGTCAACAACAGAATAAGAATGCATCAATATAACAGGTGAAATAATGAATCAACCGGAGACCCTGCTGCTGTCCTATACGGTTAATTCTATAGCTCAATATCCAATCCAACCGGAGTCACCACTGTGACCTGTACGGCGCTACTCTGCACATAAATAGGAACTACCTAAAGTAGTCTGTACGATAAGAATAGTGTAAGAATACGCTTTAGTGTTTCTCTCATCAACAGCTGTATAATAATCTAAGATCACCTATAAGTCGGAACCACCTCTAATGGTCTGTACGCCATATCGGAACCCCTCCAATGGCCTGTACGACATGCACCTATTTGGATCCAAGGTGAGCGTGTGGTGTAGGGTGAAGAATATAAGCACTAACATCAGGGGTGCAGGTTATGAGCTCGCAACACAATTCACATCATCAATACACCATATGAACAACATAAAACTCACCTGATACTCACCTGTGCGTCCACAGCACCATTTCACATATATGCATCAAATACCAATTCATGTATTACATATAATATGCATGCATGGCATTTGAAAACATACTTTCATTTAAATTCAATTTTTGGGAAAAATCAATAGTATATAAGTAAATACAGAAAATATTGCCCACTCACTGGTAAGTCGAAGGGTCGTAACCCCTGTGACGCCCTTGAACGCGCTCGTCCTCGGGATAGGTCTCACCTATATGCGAAACAACTATAAAAACGTTATTTAAAGCATACAACCAACAATACGTAATAACTTCTCATACGATACTCAATTTGGGTATATGAATATACCACAGTGACTTACTCGACATTACGGACGTCGAGGTATTTTTAGAAAAAAATTTCGATGCTGCACGCGCCCCCACGCGCGTCATCTTCTTCCTCTAGTCGCCGGACTGGTTTCGCCGGTGTCGGAAAACTGGAGATTTTTTCAATCTCCTTGTTCTCCGTTAATTCTTAACCATTTTTTACGCATTTTATATCAAAATGAAGCCCTAAGCATGTAGAATCACGCTATACTACTTTAAGGCTAAAAAACATACGAAATCTCACCGAAGAAAATCCAAGAAAACCGGCCAACTTCGAACCCTACGATCCCGACGTCCAAAACCTTCAAACTAAGTACTTTGAGCTTCCTTAGGACCTCACTAAGCTCCTTGTAAGCTTAGAATTCCCTGAAAATCAACATTTCACGTGTGCATGAACAATGACATCAAACTGGGGCTTGGATTTTACGTGATTTCGAGGGTTTCCAGTTCTAAAAATGGTACCATTCAACTCAGGAGGTTGCAAGGATGAAGAAACTCATCTTTTTGACGTCGATCCATGAAGATTTGAGGGTTTGGTGCCTTGTCCGTAGTGTTTCGAGAGGAAGAGAGAGAGAGCACGGGGAGGTGCTTGTCCCGTGTGTGTGTGGTCCACCCAAAACAATCACCATCCAATTCCTTTAGGTCCCTAACCACACAATTTGCATACCATTTAATCTACTTAATTAAATTTTGCCAAGAACTTAGGAGAGTATACATTTATTCGAATAACATGTCACACGTACCTTAATAGCCTTTAAGGGTAATTCCGTCATTTTACATCCACGATAAATAAATTTCGGGACGGGCTGTGACAATCTCCCCTTCTTATAGAATTTCGTCCTCGAAATTCATACAACACTCAATCTACTAATATTCATAAAATAATCTTGGATACATCTCTCTCATTCGATCTTCCGTCTCCCAAGTAGCT